GACCAACGGCTTAACATGCCTTCCGAAGTAGGAAGTAGCTCGAGATAAATTTTTTGATCACCCATCCCGTGACCGACTCTCGTGAAAGTTGCTTAACAACAAGGATCGCGGGCTACTATGATAGCGAGCCGCGCCGTCCACGCCGCCGCCGATCACGTCGGTATTACGCAAGAATTTTAATATAATAAAGAATATCTAAACTTCTCGGTATTAAGAAAAAAAAAAAAAAAAAGATAGGCTAACTACTTTTTACTATAAAGGCAAAGGGATAATAATTAATTATTAAGCCTTCTTTGCGTTGATTAGGGTTGCTTGGGGCCACCCAGGTCACGTGACTAATTTTCACTGTGGAGACAACCGACAATGATGTTGTCTTGTAAAATTTGTCACGTGACCGAGGGTCTTCTTCTACGTTCAATGATATTTAATAATTGTTTACTCGCTTAGTTGTTGCAGGATTATTTCAGTAGTGCTATCCTGTTATTACCCTCTATGCTATGACAGCGCTGTGTTAACCTACAACCTACAAATTTTATTTGAGTGAACCTCTAGGTTTTTAATTTAATTTAACCTCTATACTGTCACAGCGTTGTGCTCGACGTTGAGTTCAAGGCTGGTTTTTAACATAGCTGCATTACGGGAGGAACTTGCGGCGCGTTCTGTCTAAGATGCGTTAGTTAAGCAACTTTTGCAACAGTCGGTCATGGGATGGGTGAACAAAAAAATATTATCTCGATCTTAATTATTACCTACGCACTTCGGAAGGCACGTTAAACTATTGGTTGGTCGGGGCGGTATATACCTGCAGCCGGTAACACATACCAAACCGCACTGGTCCCGCGTTCCATCCTTTTCAATGTTTTCTATCATTAGGGGAGGCTTATGCCCCAGCAATGGGGGTATTAATAGCCTGGTGATGATGAAGAAAGAAAAATTATAACACGAAAAATTGAGAACACTCAAAACTTACTCCTAACTTAGCTAAATCCACGCTGACTGAAACCATATCTTAATGCTTATATTATTAATGTGTTTCACTATGAATATGAACATTTTGATAGGTTTATGTTTAATGTAAATGGGATGGCCCCAGACGCACGGACACTGATCGGGTCCCTGAATAATTTATGCCGCTAACGGGCTATGTCTAATTGACGCAAGGAATCCGGCTCCAAAAGCCAACTGCTAGTTGGTAAATCATGGGCCGATTAGCTGCAGTATCTACTATAGCTGAGAAGGAAGTCGAAGGAATGTTGAATGAAAAACAAATATATTAATGATACTTCATGAATATCTACTGTGATTGTTAAAATTATTGAGGTTTTCGAATTTAATATTCGTATATTAGAAAGAAAGAAGATAATTTATGCAGTGACCATAAGAAAACAAAAATAAAAAGGATATATTACTATTAAAATGACACTGTAACTCAGTATTTGTCGGATGTTTTAGGCAACACGACGTTGATGTTCCTGCAACTTTAGGTTCTAAAGGGCACCAGTAAGCCATGGTCATAATATAATAGTATTTAAATATGTATAAAATAAAATATTATACAATAAAAAGATTTACAGTTTAAAATATAATAATATGTAATAATAATTTATTACTGCAGACAGTGTTTTAGAGTCAAACTATAAATAAATAGATAATAAGTTTTATCAAATATCAATGAACTGATATCTCATATGTTTTTTTTTTATTTGGAAGAAACATAATTATCATTAATTTAGTTTTAATGATAATGTTTGTTTATCTCAGAAAAGTGAAAGTAAATAATTGTCACAAATACTACGCATGATTCGAATCGGCGGATCTTTCGTCAACCGGACGAATGCGACTCCAATTGAGCTATTAAATATTTTTTTGTTAACTCAGTGTTATGCCTAAATTTAGGGCTCTCTGAACTAAGGGCAGTGCTCTCTAACCTTACGCCCTTGACCTAAGGGCAGTGAAGGATTAACCTTACGGCCACGGTAGGTATTTGGATACTCGCGCGAGCCTCCGGTCTTGGGGTGGCCTCCAAATTGCTGGATTAAAACATTGGATTATTTGGATTAAAATAACTGTTATTTCCTGGACTAAAACAGCTGTTATTTCATTTTCTAAAGTATTTTCATTGAACAATGACTTGTTACTGTAAATACTGCACTCAAAAGTAATTTTATTCAAGTAGTGGAAAAAAATCATTGATTCTGAACTTCTGTGATTAGGATCTACTTGTTTCAACGGTCAACGTAGTGGCGCTATATGTTACGGTCGTTTTCAAGGACAGCAACGTCTAAGGTCATCCACCATCCACCAGATAGGCCGACAGTAAATCGTGGTTACTCCATTAAAGGCAACAAATTCTACCTAACGGACTTTAATTAGATCTAACGCGTCCACGGATCGGTACAAGATTTACTGCGCGGAGGCGGTGCCGGGTGCGAGAGAGATGGCAGATCTAATGCACCTGCCACATATTATCCCTGACGTAACTGACCAGCCGAGCTGAGAGGATTAACAGATGCAGCGATAGCTTTGATTCAAGAGTGGGTGTTGGAGGTTACCGATACACATGTGTATGGAAAATAGCGATATCAAAATTTCCAGTGCGCTTTGATAACAATAAAAGAATAACCCGAATGCTTAGATTTCGTCAAGATAAATAAATACGCAACATTTTTTTTACTGGCAAAAATCTAACAATATTTGTTACAAAGAAATAAGTGAACACAAATTTTATCGACAGTTTTCATCTTTTGAAGCTTACGTAAGTTATAGTTCGGTTAACAAATCAATACTAAAATTAATGCAGTCACCTGTCAATAGCAAAAGGGAGTTTTGTCTAATAAATTCATAATTAGGTAGGATTTATTGATGGGCGTAAATTTGAAATGCAAATGTTTCTGCAGCTGCCTCCATATATGCGACGTGGGTCGAGGAGTTGATGGGCTGTGCCTGTTTATTACAAAACTGTGTCTTAACTGATGCATGCACAGTTGAAATACGGCCTGACGTCAGGCGGATCAGCGCCGGCGCATCGGCTAGTTTTAACTCAAACGGGCCGTTGACGGGCGGGCGGACGATACTATACCACATTCGTGAGAAAATCACTAATTGAAATTTCGTATAACGCATGAATCATGTAACTATACTAATATTATAAAAATATAATGTTTCTAACTTTGTTTATTATAGAAAATAAGTTAAAACTTTTTTGCTCAAAAAAAAAAACTGATATAATACATATATACATATAATATAAAATTGTCGTCGTCGATAGTAAATGAATCCATCCCACCAGAGGGGATAGACTGATTTATTTTTTGTACTGAATTTATTTTCTCGGACAAAAGGACTTGGTTAACTGACGGATTTCGTATTATGCTTTTCAAAACTTAACTTTGATCTTAATCAAACGACAATTTGATTATAATACGAAACGATTTCATAGAGTACTATATTCAAAGATACATACATATTTCAACGTAGCTTAGCAGGTTGAGATTGAATCACACCTTTTAAGGTGAAATCCTTCTCAGGAAATTCTTACTGCATCGAGCACCTCTAGGCAAGTTCTCAGCGTTGCGATACATCGATACATCTCGATCCGCCATCGATTAACATTCGAATCGGTGTGCACGGAATCACGGTTGGTTTGTGTAAATGGCGCATAAATAAAGTGGTCGGTGGCCCGCCCCCGCGTATGCGCGTTTTTGCAGCTTAGTTTAAGACTGGCCACACACATACGTTTTTTCTTCGGTTTTCTGATCAGGAATTCCGTGATTCATGACACGTGGTTCAATTGACTAATTTTGAAAACCTTTGCGATAGGTTTCAAAATTATTCTATCAAAGATATAGCGACTGCGATAGTGATATGTGGAATTATGTAACTTCTAACCGGTCGACAGATTGTAGATAGATTTTCGTTTGATATTTGCATGTCTTCGACAATTCAATTAAATAATGACAGATGGTAACCGTGTTTCCGAACCGGAAACGAAACGAGCGAGTGCGCGTCGGTGTACACATTGTACGATTCGTCCGTGTTCCCAAAGCGAGGGCCTACTCTGTTTACTCAGGAACGATATTACGGATTTTTTCAAATAATTTAATATAATATCCGTAATCTGTGCAAAAGAGGCTGTGTTAAGTCCTTCGTTGCGTACGACCAGTCCTATTAGCATTTCGAAAATAGACGAGATTTCGTTCTCGAAAAAACAGTGTAGAGCTGCCGATCAGGAAACCGAAAACGGAAAACGAACGTGTGGGGCCAGGCTTAGGCGAGTGCGCTCGCGTCGCTGTCAAACTATAATTTGTGTTCGTTCTGTTTAGTGAATGGGCGAATGCTGTGGCTGTGTGACATAATGTAGTTTTTATTTCGTAATGGAGACCTTTTGATTTTGACAACGCCCGTGGGTGGTTGACGCCAATTTAAATTAAATAGCCGTTTTAATTATATTCGACAAACAGACACTGTAGTTGGACTTTGCTTAATAAAATTAATGTGTGAAATTCCTATGGTTAGACATGCCCAAATTAATAAAATGAAGTAGGAGCAAAACTTTCATCTCTCATATAATTGTCATTTTTATTATAATAACATCTTGTCATTTATAGGGTAACGAAGTTTTTTCACGTCTTCAATATTAATGTATATTTCCGTTATTACGAACCACTGTGTGTTTATTTTTAGCAGATTGAAGTTATTGTTATTAGGGAGAAAATTGGATAGCCAATTATACAAACCGAATAGATTGAAATTGCGTTTGGTGCTTTTGAAAATTCTGATATGCAACCACCAACGCTAACACAACTTTGCCGTGTCTTACGGCTTTTACAAAGGAAAGAATTCAAAAAAAGTGTTTTAATTAGTCAACGAGGAAAGCACAGTCAATATTATTTGACGTCAATAAGTCTTCTCGTGTACTCAAAACAATGTTTAAATTTTTATCGTCTTTAAAAGCCGCAACAAACTCTGGATCTAGGCTCTCGTTTGTCTCAGGACAAAATTCAATCACCTTTGGTGTCGAGTGGTGCGGGCGCAGCCAGACTAGGTATCTCGGGCTGAGGAGGCTGCACTCGGGGCCCTGGCCATGTGGTGGTGCCACCGCCGCAGTACCGGGCCCTACCCGCCGGGCAGCCGTCAGCGACGTCGCGCAACGTCGACGCGTCTGCTGAGTATTCTGCGGAGGTCGACACTTTATTATTTGGTTACGTATGTGGTCTAATCGGGTATGGATTTATGTTCTCACAGCAATGCTAATGAACGGACATATAATCATTCGTCATATTTTGCTTGAGTTCTTTGAAGAGCTCTGAAGTGTTTAAGATGAAGCCATTGGGAATGCCCACCGTGAAGGTTTTCATTTATCGAAGATCAACAAACAATATTTGGGCAACCAAAACTGATTCAGTCGAAATGTATCGATTCGCTACTCATGATTTCGTCATATACTAAACGTCAGTATTCAAGGCTGGTTCTAAGCACCGGGCATTTTTATCGGCGTCGTGCGCACTCGCGCGCTGCAACCTGATTGCCTGTTATTTATTATCTGAGGTCAAGCAAACTCCAATGAATGGATGAGTGATGGGGGTCGGAGTGGCGCGTGACGTTGTTTGAACAACGCGATCTGTTAGATGTGTTAATATAAATACAAATGTACTTTTCGATATAAGTACTACGTCTGATTATTGAATTGGCAATTTTTTACAATTTTTATTTGGGAAAATTATATCGTTCATTCCGAAGATTCACCGTTTGGATTGACAGTAGGTATAAAAGAGAAAATTTATGGGATATTATAAGCAAAACAGGCGGTTTAATCCTATACCATTCCAAACATTATTATGTAAGACCGAAATGTATTTGCATTAACATTATAAGTAAAAGTTTTTTTATTAATCAATTCGACTAATCGAAAAAATATATGAGTTGACAAAAGTAGTTCTGGCAAAGGATAACATCACTCACTTCTCGTTGTTGAAGACTGCAGCAGACTAGCCGTCTGTCCACCAGGAAACGTCGCATTCCGCTTATGCCGACCCTGCAACAGAAAAATTTAGTATTTAAAAACATTCCTACTATGTCAGCAATGAGCTGTGTAGAAATTATGATATGTTTCCAGTTATCATCAACTTTATGTACATTAAGAATAGCATTGGTATTGCAGTGGCAAAAGCCCTGTGACCCAATAAGGCGATCTTACTTCGTCCACTAGTTGACGATTGTACACATATATGGCTATGACTTACGTATCACATCTTCATCGGCAGATGTTAAGTGCTATGTTCCGTAGTTCGTCAAAGCAACTTCCGCAAGGTGAAATGCGATTAGAAATTATAGAAACATTTGTTATTTATTCGAAAGCAGATTCTTCAAGTCAAATGGCTTATTAATAGCTGCAGTACCGTCAATACGACAAAGTAGTAAATAATATAAATCTAAATCTGAAGTTTTAAATCCCCGAATCGCTTAAAACCAAGGTTTACCGGCCTCGACGTACGCATGTGAGACATAGATACCGACCGAAGGGATTGTACATGAGCTTAAAGTAACGCAGCGCAATACGGAGCGAGCCATGCTTGGCATAACGCTACGCGATCAAGTCCGGAACAAGCTCATCAGAAAACGCACCAAAGTTGCCGACGTGGGTCACAGAGTTGCAAAACTAAAATGGGCTTGGGCCAGTTGCGTATGTTGGCGCCACAACTAGCCTTGGGGAAAACGCATCTTGGAGTAGACACCCCGTTTAAGCAACGAAGTGTTGATAGACAACCTGCCCGATGGTCCAACGATTTAAAAATGGCGGCAGGAAAATTCTGGAAGAGGGAAGCAGAAAACAGAACTGCATGGAGAGATTGGAGAGGCGTATGCCAAACGGTGGACGACTACATGCAATTACAATTTCTAGTTTCATGTCTCTGAATTTTGTTAATACGAGTATTTTTGACTCAAAATTTTGTATGACAAGTGTGTCATTATAGTTTTTATCAATTTAAAAGTTGGTCAGCGACTGAACGACCCTGTGTCAACAACTATTGTGTCCACAGTTATATAACGAAAAACATAGAAAACTTCTATCAAAAATTAAGGTGTCATATTTTGGTTGACATTTATTTTTGTCAATTGCTCTTTGACCCCTTTAAATATAACCGATTAAATGATCATTCTCCTTAAAAATAAATCGGAACAACATGAAATTAATTGCAGTAAAGGTAAAACAAAAACGTATCGGCGTCTGGCGCCGTGGTGTCCCGTTAAAGTATTTAGATGTGTTGATTACGTCTCTCAGCGGCCGGTGGGGTCGCCGAACTGAAATATTGCTCTGATTTTATAGATACCGAGAGGTTTGTAAATAATACCATTGGCATCCGCATCTGGTGCAGGCAACATTCTTTGCGATCGATATACGATGTTAGTAACAGATAGAGAGAGGTTATGCTTGTTATAATTACGGTTATTTCGATCTGAACTTTCTGGAATTTGTTGTATGATGTAAGGTACTTAGGTGTTATAGGTGTTATGTATATGATTTTTTAAAGACTTTCTGGTCTTGGTTTCGTCTTCTAGTCAAAGTCTGGCTTAGTACAATATTATTTATTAACATTTGCTTAATCAAATTGTGTGTTTATAATTTTGTAGTTTGACTTTATTTATCTTATTTATCAAGGTGTGCCTTTAATTGTTTTTCAATATATTTCTTATTTTAAGTTTATTATATGAATTTAAGTTGACGTGTAAAAATGTATGTATATTGAAGAACAGAAATAGAATCAATTCATCGTTCAATTTTGGGAATTTTGCGGTCAGAAACGAGTAATTTTTTTTATATAATTTTAACAAATTTTTGTATAGCTAATGTTCAGGAAATTGATTCCAAAGAGAATTGAAACAATATTAAATCCTAAGCTACAGTTAATGAGATCAGTTGATTTGAGTTTTTATTTATTTCGTAAGTGTATAGATAAGAGATAAACACCCAGTTCATATCATTATATCTTAATGGACATTAAGGTATAAAGACGAATTTGAGCTCTAATGAAAGTTCTAAATTAGAAATTGTGTATCGGTAACGTCGCTATAAGAAATGAAACATTTGATGGACGTTTGTGCAACTGGGCGTATGAAATGCAATAATATAAATAAACGACATACAAATCGCTATTTCAATGGCCGGTATTATATCTCAATATCATGGTTCGATACCTCGCTCGATATGTCGTAGGGTATCTGTCAAGTGAGTGCTGTGTCCGGTTCCCAATGAGCCGGGTCGCCGACCTTCGTCGTCACGAAGTCCCGATGCGAATGTTTTGTTGGACAGCGTGCGTGTGCTCTAAATATTTTAATCGATACCTACGTAATGATATTTTTTAAATCCGGCCATGTGCGAGTCGTACTCGCGCAGTAAGGGCTCAATTACCTTTTACAAATCACTTTAGGTATTCATTTTATTCCATTTTTTAGTATTTGTATACCGCTATAACAAGCGGTAACATAATTAAATCCTCTGTGAAATTTTGAACTGTCTACAGATGAACAGACAGAAAAACTAGGGAGTCTTAGTAATAGAGTGCCCACTTAGCTTACTCGGTTTAATTATTGATTAAATTTTTAATTTAACCTCACTGGCTAATTAACGTTTGGTGAAAAAAGTGGATTTAAGTCAATAGCATTTTCTCCTATTTGGGAAAACTATAAACGCGATGGCATTATAAAACAACAATAGTAACTTACTATTGTTGTTTTATAATGCCATCGCGTTTATAAGTAGATGTACAAGTTTCAGACCGAAAAATCTTTTCAAAATTTAGAAATGTATCTTTAAAGATTATGCCGAACTTCAATGAATGCTCTGAGTTTGAACCGTGTTATTTAGACTACAATAAAAGGAGCTCAATATTTGCCGAGAATATTACGTATCGTTTAAGACATGAGTATAAAAGTATCTACCTACTTAGCCTATATCTAAATATAGTGCCACGAAAATTTTCAAGAGAAGTTTCTTCAATTTGTTTTATATTTATTAATCTTTGGATGTCGTTGGTGTCGTTTTTTATTTAAAAAAAAAATGTTTTGAATTTATATAGATTATAAATTTTCAAGTTCACAAAATAAAGACTGTTCCAAAGATCATGAAAATTTTATGGGACCTCCTTGGAAGCAAGCTTTTGAAACAAAACAAAATTATCCAATTCGATTCGCAATTGACGGAGACATCTCGAGAAAACATAATCGAACGAAAAGAAAAGTTTCTTTTTTGAATTAGCTTGAATCAAATGTACTCATAACGAATTGAATTTGGAAATGGAATATTCATAGATGTTTAACGACCATAGATTAGCGGAGTTCGGGAAATTCGTAATTCAAACTTCTTTATACTGTTGATGTAACACTTTTTATAATTCGGTAAGCAAAGGGGTTCACTTGCTAAAATCACATGGAATGTAAATGCGTACGGCAACTCTTCCTGTATAATTCATTAATACTTGCAGCTCTTCCGGATAAATACTGTATAATTCATTCATATAAACACTAAATACTATAATCACAAATATCTATGATAAAAACAAATGTTTATTACTTTAAGACGAGAAATAAAAATAAGCTAGCCGTTCGAAACGTTAGGCTTCAAAAGGAGAGAATAATTTCTGGACAAATGCATGGCTATGTTTAATAAACTTCTACAAAATGTAATTTATCTTCCTGTAGGTGGTTTTCTAAGGTTTAATATTCATAGAGGACTATCGGCGATTTTATATAATATGGTTTTCTATGTATCTAGAAGAAATACTCTTATTATACACTAAGAGTTAATAGCTACTAATTAATTGGTGTAGGATTCGTTCACCTTCGCTTCGGATGCTTTCTCATTAATTGCCTATAGGTTTTCTTCCTCATCAGCCATATATGGTGAACATGTCGAGGAATCTGATGTCCGATGCGCTTTCCGCGTCACGGCAAAAAAATACCACTACCGGTTCTTGAAGTCTAGTTCATAACGATTGACGGCCAACGTGACATAGTAACTCTTTGGTGATAGCGATCTATATAATTTCTTTTGACATTTTCAATCTTATAATTTAGGATTTAAGACTCACAGTTACGTGTTCAGTTTCTGATTTATCACAAAAATATTCATTAGAAGTTTCAAAGCTACAAGTACTCAATTGCGATTTACAAAATACCTCTATTTATGTTATTAAGTAAAACAATAATATATACATTATTACTAAATGAACATACTTATTTTTAAAGACAAATTTATCTGCCTTTTTCCCGGCGGGGTAAGCAGAAACCACCACCTTCCATATATTAGCACGTTCCTGGCATACCTTATTTTAACTATGAAGATATAGATAAGTATATATTAATTCAACATAATAGAAATCGTTAATTGAGTTTAATTAATTTACAAATAATATACCTACTTATAATATTTCAATAATAGCATGGGCCAATACTTATGGTTAGTAGAAGTAATTGTAGTGATAAAAATATAGATATAGGTATTGTGTTGTATTAAATTTTTATATTGAATAATTTTATTTGAAATAGAAACAATTCAATTTCCTTTGAGTGAGTATGTAGAAATAATCGCTTAGTAATGATGTGGTACGATAAAATAGCAAGAATAATTAGCTCAGATATTATTGGAATAACGTTACGAACTGCTAGTCTGCTAATCCATTTCGGGGTGGGTACATACTCATAGCCAGCTGTGCCTAAACTTTGGCCGTTGACCCGGCTTACGCTACAAAAACGGCTCGTATGACTGGCACTGGTGCGCGGGCGCAGAGCCGTGCCGACCGACCACTGACAGGAGGTGATGCCGGAGAAAAAAAAACCTAGACCTAGCGGAGCACTGGATGTGGAACTCTACCATTACTTAGTTTGATGGTTAATAGAACAGTATTACCCGTCTTCTTCTATCTTATATAAATATTAAACGCTGATAGATTAGCACTAGCTTTCTTGCCTCCTAATACCACTCATAAGTGCGGTAAAAGAGGATAAAAATCCAAAAAATCCAAAGATCCCAGAATAAGGAGAGCGAGTTTATAGAAAGTTGTTTAGAGAATCTTATTTCAGTTTATGCCAGTTCCACAAGACCTATAAAAACTTACACATACTTCTAACAATAACTTTGTCAAGGCGATTCTACCTGTGTGATTTTATTCACAAGTACTGTGCCCCAAAGATAGATCATCCTATAAGCTGTATTGATTTTACAAGACAGCGAGATACGAATCAGGATCTTACATTGAAGGGTTCGGGTAAACCCAGTGAAGTGACATCATTCCTCTCTCTAAACTCCAAACAGATGATGAATCGAGATTCCTAGGAAGTGTTCTGACGAAAATTAGATTACAGTCTGAACGAAAAGTAGGTATAAGTATACCGCCCCATCCGTTACTAAAACTTTATAGAGCATGCAATATATTTGGAGATCAGCTTCGTAGAATAACCATAACGGATATGCGACGATCTACAGCCATGAGTCAGCCTGCGCGGGCGCATGTAACCCGATCCTGTTCTCATTAGGCGACCTACTCGGTTATTAGGTTGAACGTGTGCTTCCAATAATTATATGAACTCATTTATCAAACGATATTTTGGTCATTAGGCAACTACTACTAATACGGCTCACTTTCCGATGTATCATAATTGGGAAACTTAAAATAATATCACATATGCATAACCACTCCTATACTTGTCAATTAAAGGGATCTCAAATATCGATTTTATTATTATTTTGTCGCATATAAACATTTATTGAAAATATTCAGTTTCAGGAAAAACACACTACCATAAACAGACAAAGGCAAAGATATGGTGACTCAATGGGCCGTTTTCATCGCCAAACTCCTTATTTATCTGTAAATGGTGAATATCGACAGGTACCCGATGTCGCTTCCAGTATAGCAGCTCTGTAGCACTTCTCTGAATTTATAACAACTCTTAACCTTTATTTCAACATACTCCACGATTGATACGGTACGTTGCTTGCTGTACTTTCCACGTCTTTGATAGTTGTGAACAATTTGGAACTCAAGTGTTTTAAGGAGTCAGAGGGTAAGTAAGATCAAACTTCAAATTATTTTAACGTTTTGATAAAACAACAGTAAAACGTAACGATTTAATTTACTCCTTCCCAAGAACTCATTTTTCAAGATTAGCAATAAATTTTCTGTGGTAGTGTTAATTGTTTATAATTGTTGTAATAGAAACTTTATTATGAAGGAACAACAAAATGAGCTCATTCTTTGCAAGGCCATGATGCTAGTTAATGAGATTGTTTTTAGATAAGTTGCTTTTGAGAAAGTAAAATATTCTTAAGACAAAGTACAAGAACAAATCGTTCGAAAGATAAACAAATTTAAAGGCAAAAAGAAATACAAGTACACTTCCTTTATAACAACAGCAAAAAATGCGTTAAGAACACCACCCCGCGCTATTGTTTGATCCAGACTAGATGCACGTAGACAGGTATGGAGCACCAACAGGATAATTGTAATCTAAAGCGAAGGAACCAGTTTGCCCGTGTGTCATCAGCCGAGGAAGCATTGTGCGCAGTCCATTGTGACCCGTCTGGCGTTACATTATACCCCAACAAAAAGTGGTGAATCAATGAGGCAGCCGCGTACTAGGCTTACTCTTTGAGACTAAACGTAAACGACATAAGTAGTGTACAGCATACAAAGCCGTGTGAGTTGCTGTTGAAATCGTCATAATCAATGCAGACACTGCCATGAAAGGCAAAATAACCAATAATATTTATATTTCGATTTCCGTAGCCATTTAGAAGCGTTATATGCTTCAAATGCCAACCAGCAGCATTCTATAAGAAGAATGACGTAGTATTTATTCTCTTAAAGCATTCATAGATTGGTTTTGTGATATCAAGTCTATTATTATAATTATGAATGGTGATGTAGTCGGAATATTTTATTGTAAAATGTGGCCCTTCTATTTTTACAGCAACCCATCTAGTTTGGCGTGTGTACAGGCAATTGGTTTTTATAGTTCTTCTTTTTCGATGACAAGGTATTGAGTATAAATAACTTCAACTTGTTGTAACTAGCTCTCTATAAGTGACATATAAGTATTAGCATCGCTATGCTATGGTTTATTCTATGATCAACGATTGTTCATCGAATCTAAACGACACGAGTTACATATACAGAACTTCCTCTTAAGTTTCTGGTGTATTTCAAAGACGTCTAGTTAATTTTCATATGTTATTATGTGGCCGTCAAGGAAGCGAACGATTACAGATTAACATATTCCACTACGGTTCGAATTGCGGTGGGGAGGTGCGCACGCGCTCAGGAAACGCTCAGCTCTCATTACACGTCACCGCGCGTTCCTTTCCGAATGTAAACACTGTATTTTGGATCCGCTGCAGTTACTCCGAGAGCCGTAATGGGGACGAACGGCGTAACGTTAACTCGCAAGTTATTACAGGGAGAGTCGACCGTTTAGTCTGCAACTTGGTTAGCTTATACTGTTTTGTGTAATTGGATGTTCGAGAAATGGACTCGTACTGCAGTTACCGAAAGTTTCAGAGAACATCATTCAGTCAGACACTGTAATTTTAGTACTTCAACAGCTGTCGATGTTATTACAAGTATAACAGCCAAATATTATTGTCGAAAACTTTTTTACGACGTTGTCTCGTTATTAAGCATGATAATATTGCAATTGATATATATATTAGTGAACATTAATGTTTTTTTTTTGTATTTCGTTGAGTTTTAGGGGATGATGATGAACCGCTTTTTAGTTGCAAAAGATTTTATTACTATATACATTTGCAAATTCGTGCAATCAAACAAAAGAGTATTCGCAAAAGTCTTCGCAAACTATAATATTTCTCATAATATCGTGTGCTGCCATAGGTTATTTTGACCTTCATTTTATTTTCAACGTTCTAATGGAGCAGTCCTAAATAAAACCATGTTTAGAATGACAGTGTTAATTAAACTGACGAAGCTGTCGACATAACAGCTTCAGTGCTAACGATTATTACATCTATGACCTTCAATTAGAATTTGTTGGTTCAACGTTAATATTTTTCTTTTACTTTAACTAGTACTAATATTCTGCTTGAATTCTTCAAAAATATTTAGTATTGTGGCTGCTTACCTTACTCCTAGGGTAGACAGAGAGCACATCGGCCCACCACCTCGCTTCTTCTCTGCATGTGCCTTTGACGAAGGTGACTCGTTCCGGGGCGGTGATGGCGAGGCTGTGAGCGTGCCCGGTCACCCCGTCCGCCTCGCTCACCTCCAAAACTGTCGTCATGTCGATGCTCGCTTGAGGGACCGTGTCTGGCTGTAGGACAAGAAACCGATGGTTATTATATGTCACAGATAGTGATAAAAGTGGTCAAATTCTCATATATTTACGCAAAATGTTACAAATGAAATAATAAATCTAACTAATTTCTAAATTACACCCACTCGAACCAAGTCTAATGTAAGTCCTGATGACGTGGTAGAACTTGAAATGTTATTAAATACATTTCGCGTGTCGGCTGAAGTCGACTAGTTAAAGATCGCGGGGTGTAACGTTTTACAAGTCCGACAGCGGAGATATGTAAGTGCCTCGGTTAAGGGCCGGAGCTGGTGGGAATTCCTGAGAAATGGTAGTGTTAATGACGACAGCTCCCGCCAGCCTGCACCGGTGGAATGGGCTTTGATTCATGAACGTAACGAACAAGACTTTAATGTTGCATCTACTATTTAACATGTACAAATGGACTGTTTTTAAGGATCTGTAGTTAAAAAGGGGAATCCTCTTAGAGTTTCTCACGTGTTTTCACAGAAACTACTAGATATTTGGTACAGGTACCGTAGTGATCCAAAAACGGACTGAATTTTCCGGCGGTCATTTTTGGGACTAAATTAGAAGAAAAAAGGACTTATTGCAAACTACAACATGTTATATATCAAATTAAAATAACTTCTTATGACAATTTTAAGTATAATATCATTATTTAATTTAAAATAAATATTGTTAAGCAGATATTTGTACAGAACACCTAGTGCGCGACTCTGGCACTTGGCAGGTTTTTATGATATTAGTGATTGTAAATCAGTGTTGGCACAGTTTGTGATGTTCTTTATTATTCGATCCCAATAGTTTACCTAATAACATTGTTTCTTTGTTACATATAAAGTTAGTTAGATCAATGATAATGAGTTAGATCGAGATTTTATTTCAATTGATGATAATTACTGTGCTGCAAATTGAACGCAATTTTTTTTAAACATTCCAAAAACACATCTAAGATTAAAGGAAGTCGCGTATGGATGTAACTTAGTAATACTAGTAACACAGTGGGGCATGATTTATCGCCATAATGTCGAATGTATTCCCTCACCGTCGACTATGGGGGCCAACATTATCTGGATAATCGCACAGACACCAGCATATCTCAACTCGACGCCCGCAATTAATTAGCGGATCATTAACAGGTTATTAAAACCAGCCTCGATATTAATCGTACTTAGTGGATATATAGATTTTATCTTCGATCTTTATAGCCGGATTCTTTAGAGAGAAAAACAATTGCTTAATGTTCATGCAGTTTATTGGAATCCCATGTATCATCTTTATAAATTGTTGGTTTAATTAAGGTACGACTTTAAAAAGCATATAAGTTTGAAAAGATCCAAAACCAGAATTAATTTAGTGAGAAATTTAATGACGTCTCCAATTGAATTAAAGAAATTAATGCCCGTTTTCACTAAACTTAGAAATCTTCCAAATCTGGCACCTAACTATTTGGGCATTGTCTCAAGAGAAAATGTGTTTCACCAATGACAAGAGGGCAACACTTAAATGCATTGTGATAATTACATGCATTGTGCGGTGCCTAGCGCTGGGCATTTGCTTAAAGTGACATATACATTTACTCTTTGCCATAACGGATGTGTCAGGGGATAAAATCAATTTAGTAAGTTGGAATCAAGGAGTTTATATGTTAGAATATCTTTTTAATGTTCAGAATTTTTATATATATGCACAATGACGACTGGGGTGCTCGTGTAATTTTTCGTGTTATTACTTCCAAATATATGTTTTTGTTATAGTCTCTTGACGTGTAAAGGCCACTAACGTGACATTGGGAGAATTGTTTAAACAAAAATAGCTATTCTTAATAAATAGTGATTTCTAATTAAGCTATGCCTTGGTCTAGGTTAGTGAAAACGGGCATAATTCTGGCAGACTCATCGTTTATATTATTTCTTTCAGTATGACCTTTGACTCAGATGCGACAAAGACACTTGTTTTGTTATATGGGTTATTACGGTAATACAATGGAGGACATATTCGATGACATACTATAGCTTTTCAATAATTTAACTTTCGCATTTTTTGGGCATGTCGTCAGAAGGGATGACAACCTCGAAAAAAAAATGCGTCACGCGGAAAGACGAAGGGAAAAGTCCAAGAGCACGTAGCCCTTTGCAATGGACAGACCAAATTCACGCTAATACAGCTAATACAGATTCTAGCGTCGACGAAGCCATCCACGCAGCAGAGGATCAGGGAAGATGGTGTAATCTAGTCCGTGATGTAATTAAGCATAGAGATCACGACCCTTAGTAGTGAGGAAAACGATGCAAGGAAAGACTATAGTTTTTTACCTAAATGTGGATATGTTCTTTTAATTTTTCATGGTCATTTACATTAAAATGACAGTTTGTTTAAGGGATCGCTACCATACACCTTGTCTTTGCCAAGCCTGCAACAACGCCGAAATATCCGGGAACTCGACAAAAAGACGGTAAACGTAAAACACTACCATTCTAAATGTGAATAATTATAAATACCTTCATTATATTTAACATGTATTGTATTACATTCTGAGTTAATAATATTACATTCCTGTCCTCAGATCAGGCGACATTTTCAAGTATAATTGCAATTTACGAGAAGCATCAGGGTGACGGAGGATATTGTTTAATCAAATCAATTGTGTTGATATTAAACTTGATTCTGGCTGGTTGTTTAATGGAGCGTGTAATTTAGCATTTATAGGTGCGCGTGACCCGGTGGTTATTTTAGCGAGATGCAATTTGCGTTGTGCATCCTGAACAGCACCGTTAAAATATACGATAATATAGTGCTCAAATGCACGCGACATTTTCAACAGGCTTCAAAACAAAGGGCCTCCTTTGAATCAATGGTCTTTATTCTCAATTTAACTGAATGTACCGCTAACTTCCTCGGTTGTTTTTATGCCGCTTTTTTTCCCAAAGGCTTTTTATTATACACGTTACACCCAGCATCATGAAAGTTGGTTAAAATAATATTTTGACAATTTGATCGTGTTGCTTATAAGTCTTCAATTATTTTACATATTGGGGCTACAACAAGCATGAAGCATAAGACACCGTCTCACATTCGTTTGATACCCGTTTCCTGTACGTCATCAGATTAGTATATTATAATAAATCGATCATGCTTCGATGTCTATGCGTTCAAAAACAATGCGACAATGTCGAGATTTATAACACAACTTTCGCCGACTCCCAAAACGGTCTAATTGACGTCGCCCGCAACGGATTGCGCACGCGCCTTTAACATAGCGATTTACGATTACGTAATGTTGCCAGCGCCCAAACTACTGAACATAACCGCAACCCAAAATTAATGGAACACGCATTTTAATTGAATCTGTTGTAGACAATATTTATATTCTGTGCACTTTAATTATACGGACGGTATTGTTCACTCTTCCGCCTTTATTGCTACGAAATAAAAGTAAATTGCCATTTACTTCACTGAAACAAAGAGTTGGTTCACCGGAAATTTCAATTTTAGTATAAGATGGTAGGTAATAAGATAAAGCTTTCTTTCGTTACCAAACCAGAAAGCGGACATTGAGATGACTGTAAGGGAAATGTGCATCCTATCGAAGAGCTGGCGATAGAGCGTCAGTACGTCTACCGCTCCGCACATAATTTTCGGTTAGCGGTATCACCCGCGCCGGTAATGACACTCAATGGGAGACATTTCTAACAGTAGTATTACTATTTCAGGACCACAAAGCTGCTGCGCTGACTATCAACGGATTTACAGCCGGGACAAGTCGGTAACTATAACTGGACTTAATGTAAGCAAAGCTTAACATCATGTTTATTGGGCATTTCTATGATAATTTTGCTCGGTACGATTTTGTATTGATGCTTAAGTTTATATTGATGGTCGCGGAGAAGGAGTATCTTATTATTACCGTGTAAATTCATGAGTTGTAATATTTGCTTGATATTTTTAATTTATTTTAGCTTGATTTGGGCAAATGGCCTTCATCTAATAACAACTCATTTTTGCTAGCCATCTTGGGTGACTCGTTGAAATATGATTAATGTCATTAACTGTTGTATAACTTTCAAGACCACAATCATATTAATATTTAATGCAAAATGTTATAAGGATAAATGTGTTACTCTTTCACGCAAAAAATATTGAACGGATTGTAATAATTTTATATACGGATAGTTCTAAGTCTTAATTATCATATTAGTTTTTTTTTTCTCATTAAACGGTTTCCTAGGGATAAATGTACAGTTAAGTTATCGTGTAAACTACTCGAGCGAGTAAAGTCCCTAGCGGAATCCTAGTCTGTGTACATTACATTCAGATTACTTTTTACCTTAGTTATTAATTTATTTACAACAATAAACAACACCGAAAGATAAATTAAACACCTTCAATGTTTACAACTCCTGATTTAATGTAACCGTTATTGTGCACCACTATTTAAAGTACAGCTTCCATTAGCTTCCCATTTTATAGCAATTTCACAATACAAATAGTCATATTCTGGTGTTCATTCCGTACAAATTCATAATCGATGCTTACAAAAGGACTTTCATGAGCGTGATTTGTGAATATTGCATTCAGATTATTGTTAACAAGATATTGTTTATTTACAAACAGTTTCGCTATTCGCTAGCAACGGCTAGTTTTATGTAACTGTTATTGGACATCACTAAAGCTCGATTCATTTTAGGTTTGAATTTTCCAGTACGTTCACTGTAGAAATAATAATTTTATGATTGTTTAAGTGTTTCACGAGAACAGCTTAGGAATGTGTAGATTTTTGAAATTTAAGTCCACTTTATATTTCGAAATCGAAATGCTTGCACTAGTTTTTGGATAGCATTAGTGATATAAATCGATATCTTTTTTTATTTATGAAAAAGTCCTTAGCATTAATATGAATTGGTTTCATTTTTTATCAACAATATTATGAAAGTACAGAATTATCCTGGGGTCTATTTTGGTTTTCAGAATACATACCTTTGTGGTTCGCATTTTTGACCGAATCCAAAATCAAAAAGAAGGAGGCTATATTCGACGGGTATATGTTCTCCGCAACTCGTAGACCTAATTTGAATAATTTTGTCTGATTTGTAAAATTAATTCGCCATTTTTAGTAGGTGTATGTAAAAAGGGCCTTCTAACACATAGCAAGTTCAATTAAACAAGGTGAATTCATAAAAACGACAGGCGTATGGTGACAGAAACATCAGGTCTGCAAGCCCTTGCCTTGGCGTGCACAAGTGCGTGCATGCCCTTAGTTTCGACAATTGGAACTTCGACAAACAATTTACTCTACGCTAGAACAGTTTAAGAAAATAGCTTTGCTTGTATTATATAAGAGTTATGACATTTTAACTATACTTGTTAAAGTTTCACACGAATAAACATAATAGGTGAGACAACTTAATGACTACTAAAAACTTTAGTAATCAGGAAATGTCTTTACAGTTTTTAGGTTTCATTCTGTATAGTTGATAACCTGTAGTCACGTTAGGTCATAAATCATATACCGCCGAACAATTAGCGTTACGTACGCTTAAGCCGTGTCCTGTCCAGAATTACGAGAACCCTGTTTTCTGGATTTCTGCACGGCGAAGGAGGAGCGGAAGCTCCGGGTTTTTGGTAGGACCGGAGTTTGCACATTACGAATTTGTCATGGACCGCTTCGCAGCGGGATCTACAGTTCGTATAGAGTCGGGATGTTATAAATGGAAATTTGTATTTAGAGGTTGAGAATATTTGGTTTTAGGAAATAAGTAAGGATCGGTATTAGTTATCAAGTAGATCATCCTTTAACTCTCCAGTAACAAGAACTAATGCCTAATAGAGATAAATAATGAAGAAATCTATTTTATTTCAAGATATGTTATTGAAACGCCAATGACACGCTAAATAACAAACAGAATCAGGCTCTGTTAAGCCTATTCTTGTTAACGGTGTAAGGATGTCGCACACGACACTATGCATTCAGCACACTAACTTAAGGAGGGGGCGGGCCAGTGCCGGGTTCAAGACCAAGAGGTGTCAAACAACAATTGAATAGATATTGTCTCATGACACATTTGTTGCGAACTATGACCTTTCGAAGGTCACGAAACCATTCAGCCGCCAAGGGTGAACGCAAATCCGGTTTTAATTCCAAACGTGAAGTTAAATCTATTTAGATTAATAATGGGCTCGTTTATCATCGTTATGTGTAAAATAAATTCGCTTCTGTTTGTTTCGGCGAAATTGAAAAATGTTGTTGATGCGTGTGTTAATTTTTTTTTCACTAATGTTTTTTATTTTTATTTTTTACGTTTGTCACCTCGTTTTATCTCACATTCTTTTTCAGTATTTTTCTTTTTCAGTACATCATGCGTGGTATACTTTTATTTAGTCACGGGTTATTGTCTGTATAAATTCGAATCGTTACTAAATATACTAATAATATATGCAACAACTTTTAAACGGTTTCATCGCGTTTGTATTTAGTTTTATTACATCGTTTACAGGTTCCGTGTTCATACAAGAACAAGGTGTAAATTGATTTTTTTTTAATAATTCTATTTAATAAATGTAAACGTTCTCATATTTTTATTAAACACAAAACAAAATTGATTGAATATACTTGTCTTAGATATTCTATTCCTATAACATTTCGAAACTCACTTCACTTATGCCATGAAATGTTATTAACTTATTACCAATAAAAAGCAGAGCGGATGCCGCTGTTTGAAGTGAATTCGGAGACCTGAGTGATTTCGAATTTGGGTTTGGACTTTTATAGAATCGCAGTGCTGGTATAAAATTGAAGGTGCATAGCCACAGAATGGACATAGTGATGAATATAAAAGGAATAAAACTAAAAACTAATCGATATGAACCTCATTAGTGATAAGCATCCAAAGAATGATAAAGATACGAGAGGTTAGTTACGACAAGCTATACTCTTAATTAAAAAGATAATCAACACCACGTACAGTGAACAAGTCAATAAAACTAAATACTAACGCGATGAAACCGTTTAAAGGTTGTTTCATTTATGGATAGTGCGCGTGAATATATAAGAAATAAATATATACGTATGATATTTTTTATAAAGAAAAAGTTATGATTGGTTTTTTTAATGAACGCTCGGAAACTACACGGCTGATTTTAAAAATTATTATACCCTCGTAAAGTCATCATCAGTGGTCGGAATTAGGTAGAGTTATTCATGTACTTACACTGATTTCATACAGCGAAAGAATAAAGTGGATATGCCTCAAATCCCGAGATTAATTTTAAAGAGCAGCAAATATTCCGTGATTTTGTAAATAAAAAGTTATTTACTTTTACACAATTTAAACTACTGCACGCACGAAGTTGCCAAACTTACATCAATGAAAGAAAGAAATAAAGAAATCCCGGGAAGGTCCACATTAATATCAACATTTCGATGCAAGTACATAAATAACTCTACCTTTTTCCCACCTCTGGTCATCATACGCAGATTATATATTAGGTAGAGTTATTTATGTACTTGCATCGAAATGTTGATATCAATGTGGACCTTCCCGGGATTTCTTTATTTCTTCTTTCTTTCATTGATGTAAGTTTGACAACGTCGTGCGTGCAGTAGTTTAAATTGTGTAAAAGTAAATAACTTTTTATTAAAAAAAACACGGGTTTTTTTCTGCTCTTTAAAATTAATCTCAGGATTTGAGGCATATCCACTTTACTCTTTCGCTGTATGAAATCAATGTAAGTACATGAATAACTCTACCTAATTCCGACCACTGGTTATAATTTACGAAAGCGAAGTCGCGAGAAACAGCCAGTAGACAATATTTTGAGATAACTGCAATGAAATAAAACTGAATCGATTGAAACTGTGCGATTTGTACTTTTATCCTGATGCGGCTTCAATAACTTATTTTTGTGTTCTTTTTAGGTCGAGCGTCAAATACAATACTAAGTAGTTAGCTTATGGAACTCTGGTCAATAGCGTTGGGGTTGGTTGTAAGTGTTTTCTATGGCTTGCGTTCATTGGTCGCTTATTGTTTTATTGACTAATGAAGTGACCCCGCAGAGGTCGCTTAGGGTTCACATGTGGACCCGTCGACGAGTGTAAATGAGAGATTAGACCTCTCGGTGAATATTACTAATATTTAACAATCTTTTGTAATATACGGTTTGCCTTGTAATGTGTACTTGCAGCGACCTCGCTGGTTATCACGTGTCGGATGTACATATGTAACACCACATCAAATAACAATCGTACACGGTGAAATAAAGAAAACCATTTGCCTTGAATAACGCCTATTTGTTATAAAAAAAATAGTCGTTATTTTTTAAACTTAAAAATACACTGAATTTATAAAGCCCACTAAAAGTTAGAGTTGAATTCTTTTCACAATCAAGAGATTGCGCTTAACTAATTTAATGATTTTTCTCAATTAAAATATTGTCTTATTTTTTAATTTTAATTGTTGCTCATATTTCTCTTCATATTCTCTTTATATACGGATATTACTTATTTTACATATATGAAACAGATTTAGATTTGTCAGACAATGTTTTATTTTTAAAAGGTATTTTTGTGACGTAAGCTAAGAATATGGTTACTATTTTGACTTAAAAAATCTTAAAATTCGAATACTAGTGACATCTGTTAGTAGTTGAAACACTTATTTAAGCAAACAGCATAAGCTAGCACCTACGTGTAACATAACCATCGAGCAAATTAAATAGACTACTTCTAAAGATAAAACCATAATCATAAATACTACTTAGCATATTATTTCAAAACCATTACATCGCTACTGTAATAGAGCTTTCCACTGTCCCACCTGCGGCAATTACTTTCGGATTTCAAAACATAAAACTTACTTTTCGTCGTAAGGTTTTTATGTGAATGGCTCTTGGAGATGAGATTTTATCTTTAACGTATTAGTCTCAGGAGGCCGTTAATATGTGGCCATTACGCCCACATGCGCACGCGCATCTAAACATTCGAAATTGTAGACAAGAGATAATCTCTTTCATATTTATATTGTCGCTTGTATAAGGCTTAATAAAATTTGCAATCTCCATAGCCGAGGGTGTACACACTGTGTATTTGGCAGAGAGGTATTAAATAGGTAGAGCACAGAGACTAAGCTTACGCTGTCCTTATATTGGAAAGAGGAAGAAGTACCGTGCCGTATCTTTTTCTACCGTGCATTCATAGTTAGTGCGGAAACGGAGCATAGCAAAGAGGTAAGACGTTTTGTTTTGACTTATCTTTACTGTACACGCGTCAGTACAGATAGTTATGGTACACAATTTAATAAATTTCAGACTTTTAAAGAAATATGAGAGAACTCATATTTCTTTAAAAGTTAATTTTCTTGGTAACCGATTTACGATTTACTCAATTTAAAAATGTGAAATGATGTAATTATCAAAGAATATCAATTGCGTGTATTTGTGTAGATTAAAATCAGGTCTACTCATTGCAATTATGTTCAAGATATGTCAATTAGTTGGAATGGTAGGTCACAATAAATATCTAGAGCTTTCTAATAGCTTCAAGTTTACAGCAATCAACAGGTGATTTCAAAAGACAGATGCGTCCGTCTTGTTTATTTATTCATTAACGTTCATGTATTTCCAGATGGGGAACTTGACCATATAATTGGGGCGGTTGTGCCATTCGCGGGGTAATCCATTAGCTGGCAACACCGCCGATTGGATACCACCGCGGTAGCGTTGTCAAATGAGCTAAGGATATGACTATACAATATTTCTACGTTAAAATTTATTAAAAATGGAATCTTGAATATTTAAATTGAAATTATAACGCATCCACTACTTAAGAAATTTTCAGCATGTTTTTTTCAATTTAATTGTCTAAAATATTCGTTATATTTGATAGAAAGCAGGCAAATCACCCCAGACGTTTTTAAATGCAATTTGATTATATTTTTGGTACACAACTTGATTTATTAATAAAAACTAACTCCATTAATACCAAGTTTGTATGGAAA